GCTGTCACCGATCCTGATTCCTGCCCAAACAGTTCAACGTGTCATATTAAAGCTGGGACCGGGCAAGGAATCTGCTAAATGAGTGGTTGGTGCAAGTCTGTTGAGCTGTACTTGAAAGAGACAATAAATATAGAAAACGGCTTTGGCAAAGTAAAGTTCCAAAAACAGCACGCCTGAAGCCCGCGCAAACCGAGAAGGAATTTCCGCAGTCCACCACCTTCGCTGAAGGGCCTCAATGTGACAATTTCTTGAAGACCCTCTCTCATCCTAGAACTCTAAGGCAGTGACTGATGGTTGGCCCCATCTTCCAATTTGCTTCTCTTTGCAGACTTGCCCTCGCTCTCGCCGCTCTCGCCCTTGCGCTTCCCGCCCTCGTGGCAGGCGATGGACAACTTGCTGAGCTCCTGCATAGCCAGCTGGATTCATGCAAAGAAAAAGCAGAAAGCTGCTACTTTTGCCACATCAACACATGCAAATATATAGCGGTGGAGTGGGGTTCTGACAAAGTCACAAGTCGGAGGACATTGAAAAAAGAAAACACATGTCACTCTCCAAACCTTCGGTCCACCGAATATGCAACGTGACCAAAGGCAAAGTGGACAAAGAAAATGACAAGCGAGCAAGAAATGGATACACATGTCTATGTGTCAAATGTCAAACACCAACAGAATTTGCGAGTGCATGTGTATCGTCACGCCAATTGTCTGTTCAAAGATGTGCTTTGCAAAAACAAAGAAGGCTATACCAAAGACGTGTCCGAGCATGTGGACGGAAATGGAAGAAAAAAACACTTGACTATATGGTCATCCAACCAAGAATGAGCATTGAACCTACCCACATGTCCTTCACGTGAGGCAGCAAAGGGTGGGCGACACCTTCACAAAAGCGCGATTGCACCTGCGGAAGAAACAGCTATGTGGGCTGGGTGCGCTCAAGAGCTGGACTGGCTGGTCAAAAATACCTTCTAGCTGGCCTCTACTTCAAGCTTTTGTAAAGCCTTCATCATGTTGGGCAAGGCTTTGCCCAAGCGCCTCCACCATCAAGCAGGACGACTGAATTTCTGAAGCACCTTCAAAGTTGCATTTACCCAGCCTCTGGTCAATCTCACCACCCAACACCTAGCAACAGAGATGGTCTTAGAGTCTTATTCAAGAAAGGATCGCTTTCAAGTGCGTTCCAAAACATCCTCTCACAACGGTGCTTGCTGCGTGCACCGTGGAACTCAAAAAGCGAAAAGCCCTAAGCAAGCGAAGCGGCCGCACATGTTTATTGGCTCGGGTGGCCATCTGGGCAGTGCGAGGTTCGGACCAAAGGGGCGTGCGGTCATGGGAGAAGTGAAATGCTGTCTGAAGTCGAATCTTCACACTGGTCTTTGTTCTTGACCGAACACCTAAAAGCTTTCGCGGGCTTGCTATGCTCCTCACGCAGCTGACACCACGGGGCCATGCACCACGTAGCCAGAGCCTGCTGCAGCCGCATGTCCAGCTTGGTGAGGCCGTCGGCGTGCATGATGTTGGTCGGCAGCCAGTGGATGGCCTGAGCTGGGAGTGTCTGTTGAACACTCCTCACTGCAACCATGCTTCTCATCTCCAGCGGAGCCGGATTCTCGGCTATGAGGAGGTCGTAGAGCGACTTGGCGTCTGTCGCCTGCTTCATTTCCATCTTCATCATTCCCTTGTAGGCCGGAATCTGGTAAAAGAGCTCCGTGCAGAAGTAGTTGCAAAAGGCGAGTCGATCGCTCGCTTCATCAGCGGCGTTGGCTTCGGCCGCAAGTGTGCTGCGTGCGGATCGCTGCATGCGTCCACTCTTCCAATCCAGCAAAAGAGCTGGACATGTCCGCTCACTCACCTGGGGTGGTGTGATCACCACCAGAACTCCAAACTGGCTGGTCTAGTCCACCGCATTGCACCAGCTCGAATCGCCGTAGGCGAGGAGGACCGAGGAGCGGTTGAAAGGAACAGGTGGCACGCGAATGCCCTGGCCAGAAGTGCTGCGAGCGTACTTGACATACTGGTACACCATGGCCAGGTCCTCGATGGAAGTCTTGGTGCCTTTCTGGCGCAAAGAGGCAGGCGCAGCAAGGTCCGGGCGTGTCTGCCCACTCAACCACTGTAAGCTTCCGATCAGGCTCCGGAAGTCTTTCAGTTCACTTTCACTCAAAGCAGCGGGCCCTTGCAGTCGGCCCTTAGGAAGGACGCCTTCGTCCATGGCATCGGTGAAGGCCTTCTGGCTGATGAGGTAGGAGTAGCGGCCATTCTTTTCTTCCATGATTATCTCCTTCCCGCGATATTCGCCGGGACAGGTGGGCGTCACCTTCGTGATCGAGCCCCATTTGAAGAGGTCATGGAGGATGCCTTCATTGAACTGTTGGGCGTAGACTGCCAGAAAGTCGTCGACGTGGACGATGAGGGCGCAGTCGAGCTGCTGCTGCTCATTGAGGTGATAGTAGAAGCACTTGTCGAAGCTGTGGCGGATGAATGAGGCTTCCAGCAGGTCATGGTTGACTTTCAAATACCATGTCCTGGGGGCATTGCACAAGCCGTAGCAGTTGCCCGTGATCTCATAGAGCGGGCTCGTGAAGACTTGGGCCCTTTTGATGATAGGGTCCTGAGGTGGCATCATGTAGATCGGCCCACTTCGTTCGGACTTGTCCTGCTGGCCTTGGAGAAATGCCTTCTCGGCATCGGAGATCCAGAGGGTCCATTGCTGGCCATCATTGTTGAACTCCTTGTTGGCTCCAGCGGCAGCGATGGACAGGATGATGAACTCACTCAACCTTGTCGGGGTTGGAGCGTCCCGAGTGAGTTGACGAAGGTCAGGGTCGCCGCATCCAATGATGACTACTCTTGTTTTAGCCTTCAGAGGAGGTACTCCACGGGCTTTGTCTTTGTAGGCGGCACGAGCCTTCATGATCCGTCTTCGGAGTTTGGGATCCTGGAAGACATTCTTGGCCTCTGCCGGAGAAAGGGATCGTACTCCGGCCCAGCTCATCCAACCATCGTGCTCATTGACGGCGCTCTTCACGAAGGACTGGATAGTGTCCTCGTCCATGGCCATGATCTCGCGCCAAGGCAGCTCACGATCTAGCTGCTTCATTTCTTGCCGCGTCAAGGTGCGGTCGTTGGAGATCGACAGATCTTCGTCACCAGAAGAGTCGTGGTCTGGACGTGCTGGATCAGGCATGCCTTTCATCTCAATTTGGCGGCGGTCGCTGTTGAGATAGGCCTGATAGTAGGTGTGATGTGATGCATATGGAAGGACGGGATCCGGACTGCCGTCCCAATGCATTGGTCTTTGAGTGATGGAGCCGTCGTCATTGAGCTGGAGTGTCGCCAGCGTGTCTGCTGGCCTCTTCATTGGTAGTACTGGTAGAGGTTCATCCATAGCTGCTGGCGCTTCTGCTTGTTCTGCCGTGCTTGTGTCTGGCAGGACAGGTGTGGTGTTGTCCGCCAGTGCCGGTGTTGGTGTGTCTTCCAGCTCAGGTGTCTGAGCTGGTCTTTGTTCTTGGTTCCACTCTATCCCTGGTGTCTCAGGGGCTCGAGTGGGAGCGTGGGCACGGCTCGGTGTGCGTGAGCGGTGCCTGCTTCTGGGTGTTGGCGGTACAGCGCCAAAACCTGTTGTGCTGCCGTACTGTTGGTATGTGGGTGAATCCACATGTACCGTGTAGCGTCGTTGATCGATGTATGTGTTTGCTTGGTTTTGCTGTTGATTGGTCTGTTGCTGTTGTATGCTGGTTGTAATTGTCTGTTCTGCATGTTGTTGGAGAGGTACTGGATGAGGTGTTGCCGATGTGATTGCTCGTGGTATTGTGGCTAGGTCAAGTGGTAGTCCTTGTGCATCTGTTGGTGCCGGTAGTGCTAGCTGTGCTTCTGTGGCTTCTGCTGCTGCCGCATCAGGTGGTAGAGCATGAAGTCGTGGTTCTTGGATTGGCCTGAAGTCGAGGATCTCTTGGTCTGCAGTTGCCATTTCCTCGTCGCCAGGTCCATCTCCGCGTTGATCATCCCAGAGGCCCTGAGCGAAGTTGGCCTCTGCGTCCTTCAGAAGTCGGACATCTTCTTCGGACGGTGTCCAGTTTTCCCATCCTGTGGCCAATCTGATCTGGTTGTTGCCGATCCGGATGGAGGTCTTTCCCACTTGGATCCAGCAGGACTTCTTATCAGGGTCAAAGGCGAGGAAGCGCCCAAGCGACCAGCTGCCTTTCTTGCGTTGTCTGGAGCGTCCTTGCCATCTCCAGAAAGCGACCGTTTGGCCTGGTTGAAGATGAGATAGTTCCTGCTGGTTGCGTGTCTTTCGAAGTAGCCCTCGACGGACTGCTTGTGATGCAGTGACTTGCATCAAGGTGGTGATTGCTTCGGCTCTCAAGAGTTCAGGCTTGAGCTTGTACTCGTTCTTGTCCATGCTCAGCGTCATCGCTGACTCATCGGAAAGAAGGTCTCCGAGAGGTCGAGGAACTCTTCCGAAGACAGCCTGGAAGGGTGATCTTCCGAAGCTATAGGTTGAGCTGTTCAAGGCAAAGCTGGCAGCGATCAAGGCCTCATCCAAAGCCTCTTTTGTTGTGATGCCGTGGTGGTCAACAAGTCGTTCCACCAAAGTCCGCAGGAGTGCATTCCTGCGCTCAACTTTGCCTATCCGCCAGTGCTCCTCGGCAGGGATGATGTCATACTCAATGCCATATCGGTGATGCCAGTCCTCCATAGCGCCCAAGAAGGCGGTGTCCGGGTCCACAGTGATGTGGTGAGGTAACCCAAGAGGCCGGTACCACATGTTGAGAACTTGTTCCAGCACATTTGGAGGGTGTCGATCCTTCAAGGTGGCTGCAACCGTGTAGTTGGTGAACTCGTCAACTATTCCAAGCACGGCCACATTCTGGCTGAGGGTCCTGATGAAGACGATGTCAGCTTGAAGTCGGTCGCCAAACTGGCTAGCAGCCTTTGAGGTAGTCGAGGAGACTGGAGGCTTCTTTGGAACTGTCATGCGAATGCAGCTCCCACATCGTAGTGCGTCCAGCCCGGCGAGCGCACGGCTTGAGAGGCTGCCAGATGCAGCCAAGATGCGAATGAGCTCTTCTTTGGGAGAGTGGCCCATGTTGACATGTAGTCGGGCGAGAGAACGTTTCAGCTCCTTGCTCAATTCCTTAGGACCTCCTTCAAACCATATATCGGTGGTGAAGCCAGGAAGTCGTTGGTGTGGTCCTTGTTGCTCATGGCTTGATGTCTCATGGCCAGGAGGTGCTTCATTGACGGCTCTGGTAGGTCATCGTCGGGAGCGTCACCAAAGAAGAACAAGCCGACTCGCATGGGCTGTGTGTAGCGTTGTTTTGGATATGCTATGGCAGCAAGGTCTTCGTGCTCCAGGAGGATCTTGCCTTGAGCTGCTCCCCTGTGAGTGAAGGGGATGTCGGTCGGCCAGCGTCGAGCAGCAGGTGTCCAAGTTGCTTGAACACGTTCCAACTTCCAGGGCACTAGCTCCTCCACGATCTTATAGATCTCATCGGTCTGGGCCAAGATGAAGGGCTTCTTGTTGGTGTTCTGGAAGCGACGTTCCATTTCTGACAGTACATTCTGCCATTGCTGCTCGTCGGTGGACGGGTGGATGTATAGCACTTCATTCCCTTTTCTCAAGAACCGTTGAGGTTCACGAACTTGTACTTCATGATGTAGGCCTCGAAGAATGGCATCAGCGAGGCCGTTGCAGTAGTGTCCACTTGCGGTCGTGCGTCGACCTGAGATTGGAGCTGCATACATCTTCTGTTCGGGTGTCATCTTCTTCTGCAGCTCTTTGGCGATGCGCTTCGAATTCGTGGTCCACTGGTGCGTCTTGATGATGGGCTGGTTGTCGAGGTTCTCGGCGCCATATACACCAGCGTCGCATTCGGTGACCAAGTTCTCAGGGAGGTCCAGCACTGATTGCACCGAAGGTGTGGACCAAATTCTCGACTTCTTTGGATTCTCGCCCAGATACAGCCTGTCGTGGTCGTTCTGGTAGTGCGTGACATCGCATCCGAAGTCGACCAAGACGATGTCTTCTTGCCGAAGTTGATGGAGTTCTTCAGGTCTCCAGGCGTAGTTGAGGTTCTCATTGAAGACGCTCCAGGAAGTGCATGGCCAGGCAATGTGGACAAGCAGGGGCCGGAACTTATAGATGACGTCCCAAACGAAGTTGCGCCCTTCTGCATTGGAAAGGTCCACGTTGATCTCCTTGTCGATCGGTTCCAGTGAGCTCAGGCCACGGAGCACTGCTCGAGAGGACAGGTTAGCGCCGAACCTGCAAAGATCTCGAGGAGGTCTATCTTCGGCCCATGCCGCATCTTCTCCGCATAGGACTTCAGGGTCGTGTAGGCGGCATTCTCCTGGGTGTAGGTCTTGGCGACGTTGCGCATGTAGCCGGTCAGCCAGGTGGTGTGCCCTGCCTTCAGGGGCTTATTGGTTCCCAGTCGTAGTCCGAGGAATCTATCTGCTCTGGCTCGGTCTCCTTGCGCTTGGCTTTGCTCTTTGGGCGAGTACCTGAAATGCTCTCCTTGGACGGTGAGCGACCCGACGAAGTCGTTGATGTAGTCGATGGTTTCTCCCACGCCGTCTTCGCACTGGTTGGCTCGGGAGGAACGTCCTTGATGGCCTTGGTGGATGCCTTGCTGTCCCGGGAGGTTCCAGGCGTCAGGCTCCATTGAGGACGGTGTTGCTTGTCCAGGAAGGTGGAGGCCGTTGATGATGAGGGCAATGGCAGCTGCCGCGATTTTGGTGGTAGAGGATCGGTCCATTTTTGGAGACTTTCGGACCATCGCCATCTCTTGCCGCAGTGGTTGCGCTTCGCGTAGCTGCCGTGCTTGTTGCCGCTGCGTTGGATGCTGTCGTGAGTGCAGGGGCCCATTGCCTTCTCCATCAAGGTGGTCATGTAGCTCATCTCCATGGGGTCCTGGTAGGCCAGCCATGATCTTGGTCGAATCCCCAGGCGGATCGCGTGGATGAGCACTGTCGCCAGAAGCGTCTCCGCATCCAGCAGCTGCCTCACCAGCCTTCGCCAGCTGCGCAGCCATGAGGGCGGCGTGCGATGCATCGGCCAAAGCCGATGGGGCTTTTGTTGAGTCCTTGGACTTGACAGGTCCGTCTGCCGGCGCACATACAAAATCACGATCGGCCAAGCCGGCATCGAACATGTCAGTGAACTGCTTCCAAAGACATGACTGGTGAGCATCTGGTGGAAACTCAGTGATGCCGATCGCAAGGTGGCCGCCAACTAAACAAATGGGAACTTCAATACCAAGAGCTTCCATCACAGCTTTTTGGTGGGGCAAATTCAAAATCATCTTCAACTTCTTTCCCATGAGCTCGTTGCTCGCCAAAAAGGGGATGTTGTTGGTGGCTGAAAGAACGCTAGCGCCCAACAGGACCATGTTCGTGAGGTTGTTGTCGAAGCAAACCGGAAGGTGGACATGAACATCACTGTATTGTGTGGGGCCGTGACCGAACTCGAAGGGCTCGCGACTCGGAAAGGTGCGAACTCGAAGGTTGTGGTTCTTGAGGCTCTTCATTTGGCGTTCCAGCCACAAAGTACTGCAGCATGACTTTTGGCAAGCTGTATCCATGACCATGTAGTTGACATACTGGGGGGTATTGTTGCTGAACACCAAATTGCCCTCAGGGATCGGTGAAGTGATCATGTACGTGAAGTACGTGCCATAGGAGTTCGCGGGGACTTCATTGGAGGTTTCCTCAAAGTTCACCGATCTCTTCGCGCCGTCGTGGTGGTTGACGGTGAGCGCCTTTTTGGCAAAAGGCTTCCCTGCCTGCGAGGGTTTGCCGCCTTTGTCGTTCTTGCTCTTCTGTTCAGAGCTTTGAGGGCACTCAGGGTCTCCTTTCCAGTGACCACGAGCACCGCAAACAGCACAGTGCGACTCAGCTTTGCGCTGAGCTAAACTTTTGTTGCCGGAAAACTTCCGGCCCAAGGTCAGGCCCTGTAGACGGCGTGCGGTCACCGTCAAACATTCGGCGGCTTCATGGAGGCCGCTCATGATGTCTTCAACGTCCTCTTCGAGGTCGTCAGCTTCAGCCTCTTGAGGATCATCCTCAGGAGGTTCTGCATCGCCGACTGTGTCATCGCCGGCTTGCTCAGCCTCGATCTCGCCGTTCTCATCCTCCGGGATCGTGTCCTCGACGGTCTCGGCGATGTAGGTCTTCTTGGTGAAGGCTGACTAGTTGTGGTGGTACTTGGACTTGCCACCTTTGCCGCCCTTGCCTTTTCCGCCATTGTCATAGCGGTAGCCAGTTGGCTTGTAGTCGTTCTTGGGGCGGTCTTGTTTGTCATCCTTGGCGTTCTCAAAATCCCTGGTGTAGACCACTGGTGGCGTAGGCCGATGCTCTGGGAACTGAAGTTCAGCAGCGTCCTTGATGCGCTGGTAGTTCAACGACTGACCAGTCGCCACCAGGATCATCCTCTGGGCCTCAAGGCCCAATCGAAGGCGGTCCAACAGGCGGCTTCCTGCAGCTTCGTCGTCGTACATGGCGCTGGTGTTCACGCCAACGGTGGAAAGGGATCTTTCCACTCGGTGGTAGCGGTTGCAGAAGCTCTTCACGCCTTCTCCTGGACGTCGTTGAAGCCGTTCGAACTCGTCCAGGTATTTGCGTTTCAGGTAGATGCCTTTGACCATCAGCGGCTGCCTGAGGGTCTCGACGATGTAGTCAACTCCTCCAGCATCATCGACCCGAGAAAGGTCGCAATGCTCGAGTTCTTCTTCTGCTTCACCTCGCAGCGCCACGAAGAGGGTCATCGCGATCTCATTCGGGGGCAAGTAGGATACCATCTGGCGTCGCCATATGGTGAGTTTGCGTTCCCAGCGCTGAAAGGCTTGAAGGTCACCTTTCTGGTAGCTCCACTGAGGTGGAGCCGGCGGTGTTCCGCCTCTGTATTTGATGCCCGGCTCAGGTCCTTTCTTGATGCTCCAAGGCTTCTCTTCCTTTGGCTTGGCGAGCTCAGTAAGCATCTTGCCCCGCCATTCTGCATTCTTGGAGCTGGCTGCTCCGTCTGAAGGTCGCCGGTCATCTTGTCCAGGTCGTGGTCCTTTGCCTCCTTTGCCAGGGCCGGACCCCGAAGAAGGGGCCTTGCCGCTGCCGCCATGGAAGGTTGTGCCATGGCCTGTGCCACCTTTGGTGCCAGATGCACCTTTTCCTTTTCCACCATCTGGTAACCGAGGGGCTCCAACAGGATCGCCAGGTGGTACGGTAGCATGTCCTTGGTGGTCATGAGTAGGCGTAGGAGGAACATGTGGACCAGGTACTGGGGGAACTTCATGAGGTGGTGCGTGAGGAACTTCATGAGGTGGTACATGAGGGACACCGACAGGAGGGTCAGGTGGTTCGCCATCATGTGGTTCCGATCGGTCATGAGCTGATCGTCTGGCCGGTCGCTTCCGTGGTCTCCGGCGGTTACGGTAAGGATGAAGTACCTCCATCGTGTCAGGGTCAATGGGCGGGTCCAAGGTCGGCGTTTCCGACTCGGCGTAAGCTTCATGGCCTTCAAGGTCATTGGGAGGTCCTGGATCGCCGTGCTTGGTAGTAGGTGTACTCCTCGGGGGCATAGGCCTCTGCCGTGAAGTAGTCCTGCCATCGTGCACGGGGCTCTGCCGTGGAGGTCCAGGAGGTGCAGTAGTGTGACCAGCTGAGGCCGGAAGGAAAGCCCAGCTGCCATGCTGCAGGTAAAACGTGGGACTTCCGCAGACATGGCATATCCACCCCTTGTTCGTCGGCAAGGGATCTCCAGTATGGCAGGCGGTGCAAAACCATAGGTCTGCTGGCTCCATGGGCGTCAGGTCAGGCATCGTGCTCGACGAGCTCTCTTCTGTCGCGCTCCATTGCCAGCCACTGCCGCGCTGCGCGAAGTTGCCGTCGGAGGTGTGGTGGGCCTCGTCATCGTCAGCCTCAAAGTCATAGGTGCTGTGCTCAATAGTGTCATCCTGCTCCTCATCGTCGGAGGGCTGCATGTCCTGGAGCCTCGAACAAACGCACGGAAGCGGCTCCCCGCTACCAACTCACAATGGTGCTTGCTGCGTGCACCGTGGAACTCAAAAAGCGAAAAGCCCTAAGCAAGCGAAGCGGCCGCACATGTTTCAAGGGCAAAATTGGCTCGGGTGGCCATCTGGGCAGTGCGAGGTTCGGACCAAAGGGGCGTTCGGTCATGGGAGAAGTGAAATGCTGTCTGAAGTCGAATCTTCACACATCCTAAAACACGCGCCTTTGCAATCACGGCAGCAAAGTGTTCCAAACCTGGAGTTGATGCAGCCTGTTCCTGCTGCAAAACAAACGATCTCATGACATTGACAAGTTGCTTGTGCGTGGAAGAGTCCTGGATGATCTCCAGCATCTTCTGGAGGGTTGGATTCGGCCCGTTCTTGGCCATGTCCCTGATCCTTGATCGAACAACATTGAAAATATTGAAAAGAATTCCAAATGCATTTCGGAGTCAAGCAGAAGAAGAATTCAGAGGTGTTTCTTGCAGCATCTTCACAAACCGGTCGTTGCTGGGGG